GAACCTTAACCTGCCTTTTAACATTATCTCTGTCCCATTGCTTCCTTTCCAAGAGTCTAAAGTTCCCTTCAGTTCCCCTCATTTTTTCCTGGTGTCACAGGAATTAAAATCGAGGGGAAATCTTCTCAATTTAGTTACCGACAACAATAAATAATGACCCACTTAATTCAAAGCAAAATAAATGTAAACAATGGAGTACCTGCAGACACTGTTGGCCAAAGCTCATCAAGGCTCCTTTCACACTAGCAGCAGTGTTTATCACCCCCCCCCCTCTGGAAAAAACTCTGCAGTGGTTCACTTTTCAGTGGTTGGTAAAAGGTGGTATGTAGGTGTTCAGGAGGTGAACATGGCAATGTGTACTCACCTAAGCAGCACCATGCCCACTTACTTGTGGGTGGGCAATCGGGGGAGATAAAAATGCAAATTAACTACCTGTTTTTAGCACCCCCTGGCCTCCCTTATGAAATATGCCCTAAGCAAACACTTAGTTAATATTGTCCAAATGTTTACGGTCTTCTCTCCTATAAAGAAGTGGGGAGAATGCAACTCAAACACCCACGCGTCCTAAAAGAATTGAGCTCTGGCATTTCAAAGCCATTGTTTCTAACTGTTACCAAGTAATTATAGACCTATTAGTTTAACTTCTATAGTTGGGAAGATACTTGAGAGTTTAATAAAAGACCACATAGATGAGTTCTTGATGGAAAAAAATATTTTTAGCAACAGACATGATGGATTCATGAAAGAGAGAAGTTGTCAAAAAATCTGATTTCTTTTTATGAGGAGGTGAGCAAAACCTTGGACAGAGGGGTGGCGGTGGACGTGGTATACTTACATTCTGCAAAAGCGTTTGACACAGTTCCCCGCACACGGCTAATGTGTAAGGTAAAGTCTACGGGCTTGGAAAAATCCATATGTAAATGGTAGAAAACTGGCTAAAAGATCGTATTCAGAGAGTAGTGGTTAATGATTCATACTCTGAATGGTCTAGGGTCATCAGTGGTGTACCCCAAGGTTTAGTGTTGGGACCCTTACTTTTTAATATATTTATAAACAATATAGGGTCTGGGATTAAAAATCCCATTTCAGTCTTTGCAGATGACACCAAGCTGCGCAGTGGAATAATGTCCTTACAGGATGTCTTCAATTTACAAGCCGACCTCAATGCACTGTTTAATTGGGCAACTATGTGGCAAATGAGGTTTATTGTTGATAAATGTAAGGTTATGCACTTGGGGGCTAAGAATATGCATGCATCATACATACTAGGGGGGGTACAACTGGGGGAATCAATGGTGGAGAAGGATCTGGGGGTTCTGGTAGATCACAAGCTTAATAATGGCATGCAATGCCAAGCTGCGGTTTCTAAAGTGAGCAAAATCCTCTCTTGTATTAAAAGAGGTATAGACTCCAGAGAGAGAGATATCATATTACCCCTGTACAAATCATTAGTAATACCTCATCTGGAATATGCAGTTCAGTTTTTGGCATCAATTCACAAAAAGAACATTGGGGAACTGGAGAAAGTACAGAGGACAACCAAACTGATGAGAGGCATGGAGGAGATCAGCTATGAGGAAAGATTAGAGGAACTGAATTTATTCTCTCTTGAGAAGAGGAGATTAAGGGGGGATATGATCAACATGTATAAATACATCAGTGGTTCATATAGTGAACTCGGTGTAGAGCTATTCACCCTGAGGTCATCACAGAGGACAAGGGGGCACTCTTTACGTCTGGAGGAAAAGAAATTTAATGTCCAAACACGGAAAGGTTTCTTCACAGTGAGAGCTGTGAAAATGTGGAATAGACTCCCTCAAGAGTTGGTTTCTGGCCAACAGACTGTAAAAATGACCTGGGTAGTTGAGCTCCATGCTTCCTCTGTTGTACTAAGACCTCGATCATACCGGTGTGACTTGTCATGCAATTTGATCGTTTCAATTTTTATGACAAGTCGCACCATATTGTCCGCAATTGAAGCAGTCATATCGGTGCAATTCCGACTTCGCTGATTTTGAAAGTAGTGCATGCACTACTTTTTACAAGTTCAGGAGCAACTTGCATAAACACCTGTGCATGAAGTCACATAGATGTCTTGGAAGTCACACCTGAAGTCGCGCTCACATCCGACTTCGAAATCGCATGACTTCAAGTGAAGTTGCACGATTTCAAAGTTGGATTCGGTGTGACTGAGCACTAAATCAGCATTTATTGAAAATAGATATCTATAAATTACAACAGTGAATACTGTATCTGTTTGTTGTTCCACCTACCTTGTCAACCTTTTAAATCTCCCATCTGACATAAAAAGAATATCTCTTAAAGGAAAGTTGTTATAGCAATGGTAAATCAAAGGGTTGTTAAATCCTACTGTATATTGACAAACTGGGAAGTCCTAAACCAGTTAGAGAACTTTACATAATAACTATAAATGTTCAAAGCCTGGAGATAAAAGGGCCCAATATTTGCAACCGTCCTTTCTCCTATATGAAAGATCAAAGTATTGTGCATACAGGTCCTGTCACTTTTGAGTGAGAATCATGGCAGGTACTGTATCTGTAACAGCAGAGTATGGGCAAAAGTCTCCCTCTCTTCCATTTTTAGGGAGATACCAGACCTTTAGGGCACATTCAGGGCAATCATTCAGGGTTCTCATGAGAGGGCACCTGCCCACCCACTGACACCTTCCAAGTGCTTAATGCTGCTATGTTTGTCTGCAGGTGCAATGGGTGTAAACCAGCCTTCCTCAACATTTTTATCCTGGAGGAACCCTTGAAATAACTTTGTGGTCTCAAGAGTCTCCTACTAATAATTATTAATTTTACAGCTCACCATACATTAGTGTGATGGTCACTGGGAAGAAGGCTCCTTACATTTGTGGTCAATGGGAACATTTCACCCTTAAAGACAGTTAAAGTGACCATTGTTGTCAGTGGTTAGTGGAACCCTGGTTAAGAAAGGCCATACTAAACCATTTATGAGCTTCATGTTGGTCAATATCTGAGCTCACACAAGGTTAATCACCTTCTCCCCTTCCCTGCAGGACAGTGTTCGGACAGAGTACTGTATCCTAATAGGAAGCGGAGAAGAACAAGTGCTTCCCCAAACCTGGAAACTTTGAGGTGTTTATTACCACTGCTGAAGACAAAAGGAGCAACAGGGTAGCGCAGCAAAACTAAGAATCAGTGGGGTGCAAAGTGACCAAATCTCTTTAAAGTGATATTAAAAGCAGATTTTTTATTTGTTTAAAAATAACAAACTTGTCATACTTACCTGCTCTGTGCAGTGGTTTTACACAGAACAGCTACGATCTTCCTCTTCTTGTGTCCCCCACTGGTGCTCCTGGCTCCTCCCTCCTACTTAGTGCCCCCATAGCAAACAGCTGGCTATGGTGGCACCCGAGCAAGCTTGCTCCTGAGCTGCTGCTCTGTGTGTCCATTCACACATGGAGCATGGCTTGGCCCTGCCCCCGTTCTCTCCTCATTGGCTCACTGGCTGTGATTGACAATAGTGGGAGCCAATGGCTGCTGATGCTGTCTCAGCCAATGAGGAGGGAAAGGCGAGGCTCTGCACAACACTGGATCGAGATGGGGCTTAGATAAGTTTTATGGGGGGCTGGGGGGGCTGCTGCACACAGAGGTTTTTTAAATAGAATGCATGAAGGTAAAAAACCTGGAGCTTTTACAACCACTTTAAGTCTCCACTACAGCCAAAGTTAGAACTGTCTGTTTTTTATTGCTGGGTCTTCTCACTTTCTGTCCCAGGGGACAGAGACACACTGCACTAAGAACAGATTTTGTTTGGTAAAGCGATTAAGGATTAGAACCTCTAGATTTTTCTGTCTATGTTCCTATTGGGAAGCACTGCCCTCGCTTCCTGTCCCTGTGAAACTCTGTATGGGGTTGTGACAAGTTGTCACCAGAAAAAGAAGTAAGCGAATAGCACCCTAGGGAGACACATACAGCAGTAAAAAATATGACATTTCTAACCCCTCAGCACTGTAATAAATGTTTTGCCTGCATATGTACTACAAACATTCTACAACATTCAGCACTGAAGTCATGCTGAGTTAAACAACAATTGTTTAATAACCTAAAATGCACTTATGCCCAGACTATGAAAACTGACCCCCTTTCTGCCACCTGCCAGTAATACTTTAAATGGATATTAACACCAGGAGGTAACAGTTGCTTCTTGATCATGTGATCCCAGTCATTGGTTGTCACACTGGTTACGTGATTAGGAGCCCTTTTTGCTGGCTTCCAATCACAGAGACCAGGAGCTGTCACTGTCAACTCAGTGCACGCTCTCAGCACAAAACCTTGGAGCTGCATGGACGCATATCTGCGATGCCTGGATTTTGGGGCCCACCTGCCATGCTGCCGCATATGCATCACACTGGTGGGAAGCTGTACAGTATTTCGAATCCTTTACAAGTAGTTAAATAAGAGCTTTAAAACAAGCCAAACCTTACTTCTCTAGCTGTTTGTACTCTCAAAATATTTATTCTCAAATATCACAATAAAAACTCTAAAGTTTCTAACAGCTTAGAACACCTACTGTGTGTTTACAGTAGAAGGCTGATACACAGCCAAACTCCAGTTCTCTATAAAAAACTGCTGAGATTTCAGTGCTTCTGTTAGGACCAGTTCACATCTGTGAATGTTTTAGGTGTGTTTTATATGCGTTTAGCCATATTACCATTGAGCTCTATATAATGTGCATCAAAGATGTAGCAAGCAGGATATTTGTTAACGCACCACACATTAAATGCACAGGTGTAAACAGGGTCTTATGAACGTAGAATGGATTTCTCTACAACGCCTATAGCTACAGAGGTGAGTGGGGGCTTGTTTTAAAGTGCATTAACTGCTGTTAATATGTAAATACTTTAATGTGTATAGTCTGGGCACAGGTTCACTTTAAAAGCTAAATCTCGTATTAAAGAACACAAAATAATATGGAATAATAACAAAATGATATATAGTACAATAACTTACTCTGCTGAATAGATTTCAGTCCCCTGAGAAAAGTGGAGGCAAAAAGGTAAATGCATCCTGTCTGATTAAACTGCACCTCTCCGATAATACTAAAGCAAGCTCCCAGGCAAATGGGTATCATGGCAGTGTACTTAAGGGCATGATGTTTGGTGCCCAGGAACAGTTTAGAAAGAGCCAGGGTAAAAATAGGAGTTGTGGTGTAGATCATCTGTGCAAAAGAAAGCTGAACACAGCTCAGTCCAAGATTCCCGAAGGCAATGCTGGAGCAGAAGGTCACACTCAAGAGGAACACTTTAAACCGTGCGCTTGTATTCAGCGTCTGCTCTTCATCAGTGTTTACAGGTACCAATCCAAACCTGAGGATGGGATAGTCTAACAGGATGGCAGTTAGCATGTGAAGGGAGGACAGCAACAAAGGATACCGGAAGTTGTAAACTGCGAAGATCCATTTGTTTAGGCTCGAGATGGTTGTACCGGTCACTAACCAGGCCAGCACGGCAGTGATCAGGTAGAGTTTGGTGGTACAACTTTTCTGAGGCGCTGGTTCTGGTTTGCTGTGTATGATGGAAGGAAGAGGCGCTCTATCAGAAGCTTCCATTTCAACCTCATCTTTCCTGCTGGATGCTAAACACATGAAACCTTTCAGCAGTCCAGAAAACTCTTATAAACTTAAAATATCTCCAGACAGAGAGGTCATCCCTGGGGATCTTCTCAAAACGCAACAATGGTGACAACTGATACCTTCAGTGGTTTCCAAAATGTAGCAGAAGTCTGTGTGCATAGAAGAAACAGTGTTAACAATGGGAATGTGCATGAACACCCATTGGATTAGTAGTTAGCATTCCTACCCCCCCCCCCCCCCCCCCAGCACTAATGTACATGGTTTCGAATTGCAATCAGGCAATCAGGACACTATCTGCATGGAGTTTGCATGCTCTCCCTGTACTTGCATGTCCTCCCACATACAAAAGACATGCTGACAGGTCTCTAAATTGGCCTGTATATGTATCTGAAATAGAGACGTTAGATTGTAAGCTCCTTTAGGTAGGGCTGACGTGAGTGTACAATATATAAAGTGCTGCATACATTGTCAGTATATAATAATAATTAGGACATCAGTCACAGTCTATCTGAGCCTCCAGCTACAACAGAGGAAGAAGCACCCTTACCTTGTCCTAGATTCCAGTCCTTCAGGCAGACGATGGATCGGCCATTCTTCACCTTCACTCGTCCTATCAGGCTCTAGAACAAAGCAAGTGTCAGGCTTGTTATTAGAGCAGCAGACATGTTTCAGTGAATCAGTCCCCAGGAACTGAGTGTAAACATCTGATCTAGTGCTGATGATGATGATGATGATGGTGTGAGCTCCTCCTTCCCCAAACCTTGAGCCATGCACTCAGCAGCAGCACAGAGGCTGGAGGATGGCACAGCACTCATTCAGCACTACACACGCTCATCTTCCATTAGTCACCGTGTCATAGCAACACAATACTCCCCACCATAACACACCAGTCATGTCTGCCTTGCCTGCCTTGGTGATTCATCAGCCGGCTGATCAGCGTGCTCTGTCCTTACTGGCTTTTCATTTGCTGGGTGTCAAAGCGAGGAAGTCATTGAGGAGAACATGCAGAGGACTGGCACAGCAGAGCCCTGCCTCCGCTGGCAGCCACTTCCCAGCCCTGACATGTCACCTTTCCAAATTTAGATCCTGTGCCCTGGAAAAACAAACACTTCGTGGAAAGCTAGTCCTCCCAGTGTGGGACATATAGGGCTCATTTACACCACAATCTCTGCGTTCACCGTGCCCTTCTGTATTTATCTTTTATTTATTTCAGGTACTTATATAGTGCCATCAATTTACACAGCGCTTTACTGTACATATATATTGTACATTCACATCAGTCCCTAACCCTCAAGGGGCGTACAATCTAAGACTCCATGTACACTGCAGCTGATAAACTCACGTTTAGGAGCTTTTCTGCGTTTTTTTTCAGCAGCAGCCCCTGAACTCTCACTAATGTTTTCCTATGTGTCCATGTACACATCATCGTTTACAGGCAGTTGAGTTTACAGTCATTTTTTTGAGTGCACCAAACTTGCGTTCAGCAGTAGATTTTAGGGCCTGGTCTGTGCACTATTAGGCACGGTACCACTTTTTATTTTATTCTATTTATTTATATCACTCCCACGTTTTGTCACTTTTTGCTTTCTTATGTGTGTGTTTTTCACGGATGGAGGGTGTGGGTCCTCGGGCCTTACCTGAAGTCTAGGGGGAGGATGTGTGGCCATACGGTTCCTTCCTCCCCTGATCCCTAGGGGGTTTTCTCTTCGGGAGAACCCCCTTGCCTAGTACTGGATGTCCGGCTTCGGCTGGGCATAAGGAACGGTGGTCCACCAGGCCTTTTGGCCAGGAGGACCAAATGGGAACCTTGTCCCTGTCAGGAGCTTCGTGCCCCGGGGGATCGGGTGAACGGTCCAACCCTTTCGGGGGTAGGACAAACACACCCCTAAGTGCACGTTTTTCGTGTGTGTGTTTCTGCACTTGCACTTTTTTGCGGACACTTACGGGTTTTTTTTCGTTACAGTTCCACGTTTGCGGACTTAAAAAAAAAAAAGTAGATTTTATCAGCGTTTCAAACGCTTGTAAACGTGGCTAATCGCGTTTATAAGTGTTTTCGTTTAGAAATGTTTTTTAACTCTTCCTTTACAGATGCTGCCCAGAGCCTTTTTTCATCTTGAAAAATGCATGCAAAACGTTTTCCCGGTATTCAGATGGACCTGGTACATCATACTTTGAGGTTTCGCATGAAAGAAAATATGTTAGACACTGCTGCAATCATTTCTGCACAGAACTGAGCTGGAACACATCCAAACACCACAAAAAAAAAAAGAAAAAAGAAAGCTAATCTCAGCAAATACTGCTCTCTCTGCTTCTGTTCTATTTCTCTCAAAATGTCTGAAATAGTTAATTTTTTACTGTTTTTCAGTGCATTTTGGAAGGTCTCCTGAGGTTATCTTTAAAAAACCTTCTAAACGCAAATGTGCGTAAACGTGGTATACAAACGCGGCTAAACAGACGGTTTTTTACCTACGTTTTCAAGCAGTTAGTTTCCATCATGCAGTTTTCCAAAAATCCCGTGTACATGGAGCCTAAGGTCTCTAACTCACATTCATATATATACATACTGGGGACAATTTACCCTAGGTTCACACCTAAGCGTTTTCTGCAGCGTTTTGCACTTTGCAGAAACGCAGTACAGTCCATTTAACATGATTTCCTATGGGACATGTTCACATCTGTGTGTTTTCACCCAGTGTGTTTTTTGAAATGCAAAAAGTTGAGTTTTTGGTTCTATAGACTTCAATGGAAACACTGCAGAAAAGCATGTACTGCGTTTTTACCACGTTTTTGATGCGTTTTACATTTTAAATCTGCCTAGAAACAAAACAAAATTTAAAAAATGAAAAAAAAAAAAACCCAAAACGCAGTGCAGAATTGGCTCAAATGCAGCCTGCATGGGTGTGAACCTAGTCTTGGACAGGATCCAATTAACCTACCAGCATGTTTTTGGAGTGTGGGAGGAAACCAGAGTGCCTGGAGGAAACCCATGCAGGCACAGGGAGAACATGCAAACTCCAGGTATGTGGTGCTGTGGTTGGGATTTGAACCAATGACCCTAGTACTGCCAGGCAGAGGTGCTAACCATTTAGCACTGTGCTGCCCCCTGCATGTGCAATTGTGTGTATGTGCAGGGAGTTTTTTAGAATAAGCTTTTTTCATTTACTTCAATTGATTATTTTAGGAATGGTTCAAACCAGGAATCACACAGGAATGCGATTGCGTTCCTGTGGGATTTGAGTGCAGTGTATTTTCAGCCCATTTACCTGAATGCACTATACTATGCATGCACTACTTTAAAAAAAAACACACACTGCAACCAGATTGCATGGTACTTCTGTAACGTGATCTAGTGCAGGCAAATGCACTGTGCTTGCGACCTGCATTTGGGGCAAACAGTGAGGAAACAAGGTGTGTTAAATGTGAAGAGCGGCCTCAGCCTGCGTTTAGGGTGTCGACAGCATTGCACTGACACCTATTGCAGATTGCAAGGGCAATGTGTTTTGAGCGCGGTATGGGAAATGCACATAGAACGCGGGTTTCCCGTAGTAGTGGTGTAAACGGGCACTTACTAAGTTGCATTTACACAAATTTGCACACATTCATGAACATTTGCAGTGTGTTTCAGTGGTGAAAAATGCACCATGCTGTACTTTTTTTTAACGCCCATGAAAGCTCTGCAGTGGTGTGAACTAGGCTCATTGGAATACATTCATTTTTCTTGCGTATGCGTTCATATTGCATCTTTTGTAAATGAGTGCATGGCACCATGGGGTTATCCTGCAATCTATTACCATCATCGTCATCACTACAATGTGTGCAGCCTGTCTTTATTGTACACATCATCATGCCTGATCTATTTTATATATATATATCAGCACAGTGGCTATCTGCCTGGCAATACAAGCAGGGGTCTGTTTACCACAAGGCAAACAAGGCATTTGCCTAGGGCGGCATTTTTTAGGGGGCAGCACTGCCCCCCAGAAGGGACATATGCGGCATGGGGACCGGGTGTGATCCGAGAGGCTGCGGGCTGCTTGATAGTGTATGCAGAGCCTAATTGTCGTTCCCGAGGATGTCCAGAGCTGTGAAGGTGAGTGTCTCTCTGTCACCGGCGGGGGTGGGGGGGGGGGATTAGTGGAAGGCTCTCTCGGGTAGGGATGGGGCAGGGGTGGTTGTTGGTCACTGTCAGGCTCTCACGGGGGGGGGGGGGGAGTTCTGTTGTTCGTCGTTGTTAGGCTCTCTCCGCGGGGGAAGGGGGGGACATCTGATTTTTGTTGCCTAGGGCAGCACAAAACCTAAATACACCACTGAGTACTAGGGTCGTTGGTTTGAATCCCAGCCACAGAACCACCTGCCTGGAGTTTGTATGTTCTCCTGGTGCCTGCGTGGGTTTCCTCTGGGTACTCCGGTTTCCTCCCACACTTCAAAGACATGCTGGTAGGTTAATTGGAACCTGTCCAAGGCTAGGTTCACACCTATGCAGTTTGCGTTTAATCCGTTTCTGCATTGCATTTTGCGGTGCGGTTTTGCCAAGTTTTTATGCATTTCGCGTTTTTTTTTTCTTGTTGCTAGGCAGATTTAAAACACAAAACGCATCAAAAATGTTTCAAGAACGCACTACAGAACCAAAACCGCAACTTTTTGTGTTAAAAAAAGTCCCTGACCCTTTCCAAAAAATGCACCCGGTGAAAACGCACAGATGTGAACGCGTCGCATAGGAAATCATGTTACATGGACTGTAGTGCTTTTCTGCAAAACGCTGAGGAAAACGCTTGTGTGAACCTGGGGTATATTGCCCTAATATGTGTATGTATGAATGTAAGTTAGGGACCTTACATTGTACGCCCCTTGAGGGTTAGGGACTGATGTGAATGTACAATATATATGTAACGTGATGCGGAAATTGACCGCCCTATATAAGTACCTGTAATAAATAGATATATATACAGTATATGTATGTATAGATCGGCCCCCTGTGTGTACACTATAGGAACCTCTATATCCTATCCAGC